GTGTGTGTGAGCGTGTGTGTGTGTGTGTGTGTGTGTGTGTGTGTGTGTGTGTGTGTGTGTGTGTGTGTGTGTGTGTGTGTGTGTGTGTGTGTGAGCGTGTGTGTGTGTGTGTGTGAGCGTGTGTGTGTGTGTGTGTGAGCGTGTGTGTGTGTGTGTGTGAGCGTGTGTGTGTGTGTGTGTGAGCGTGTGTGTGTGTGTGTGTGAGCGTGTGTGCGTGTGCAAGTGAGCGTGTGTATGTGCGAGTAAGAGTGTTTGTGTGTGTGTGTGTGTGTGTGTGTGTGTGTGTGTGTGTGTGTGTGTGTGTGTGTGTGTGTGTGTGTGTGTGTGTGTGTGCGTGAGCGTGTGTGTGTGTGTGTGTGTGAGCGTGTGTGCGTGTGCAAGTGAGCGTGTGTATGTGCGAGTAAGAGTGTTTGTGTGTGTGTGTGTGTGTGTGTGTGTGTGTGTGTGTGTGTGTGTGTGTGTGTGTGTGTGTGTGTGTGTGTGTGTGAGAATGTGTGTGTATGAGAATGTGTGTGTGGGAGTATGTGAGTGTGGGAGTGTGTGGGAGTATGTTTGTGTATGTGTGAGTGTGAGTAAGAGTGTGAGTGAGCTTTCGAGTGTGCGTGTGTGTGTGCTCGTGTGAGTGTGTATATGTGTGCATGAGTATGTTTAAGTGTGAGTGTGAGAGTGAATGTGTGTGAGTATGAATATGAGTATGAGTGAGAGTGAGTGTGAATGTGGAGGTGTGTGAACGTAAGTTTGCATGTCCAAGTGTATGCATGGAAAGTGGAAAAATAAATAAAGCAGAAAACAAGAAGCGGAGAGACATTCATAGCACTGATATCTCAACTACCAAAGTCAAAAACATATTGAAATTCATCCTAACATTTTCCTAGTCCAGAACAGAATAAATGAAGACAGCCTAACCCGCATTCTTTCATCATCAAATTCAATACACACAAAATTGCAAAACAACCATGCAAACAAGTACTTACATTGTAAAAAGTGACAGGTATATCGTGTGAAATGACCTCTGCAATTGGGAAAGCCATGCCCATCACCACTAGAAGCTTGCCATAGAGGGCACTCAGACAAGCAATGAGGGAATCGCTGCAAAGAGACGGAATCAGTGAATATTGAAACCAATCATGAGGCTTGCAGCAATATTCTCATGACCAGTTCATTTCTTGGTGTATTATATAAAAGACGTGATTCTCATTTCCAATTTCTTTCTTTCGAGTCATTTAAAAGATGTACTTCCTTCCGCCGATCAATCTCTTTAAAGTTATTTTAAATATGTAAATCCTCAATTAATCAATTTATTTTTAAGTTATATAAAGGTATGTTTTTTTTCCAAGTTTATTTATTATAAGTTATATAAACAAGTACTTTAATATGTGGTATGCACGTCGAATTCAAAAGCTTGTGACGCAAAATTATCATCAGGTTAATATGTTATAGGATCCTTCTACTTGTGTCAAGTAAAAACTAAAAGAATACTCACGTGACCAAAGGGTTGTTACAACATAGTAGAAAACACTACACTACTTCTAAAATAATATAATACTCAAGTTGTAATAAACATGAAATCCACAAAAAAATTAAAGAGACTTAAACACCAATGTGAATAAAAAAAGACAGTTAGAGAAAAAAAATAATAAAGAACAGTTATGGAAAAAAATAAAACCATTGTTAAAAGTGAGGAAACTCCACAATAGCTCTCAAAGCTGCATGATACTAACTTCCCCTCTTGAGTCCACTCTAAGACTAGACTGTTCCGAGAGGTACTGCGTCGGATGTTGTTGGTTGAGGGAGTCCTTTGGAGGTTGGTTTGACTTCCGTAACGTTTGAGCATTTCGCTCATGGAGTTACGCCGGGTGTTACGGCGCACACCAATATCTAGTGAGGGGTGGCGGCTATCTGGGAGGTCCAGGGTATTCATGGTCAACCTGGCGGCGGACAACACAAAATGCAATGGTCCTACGTGGAGTTTAGTGTACAGAGATGAGCACAAGAGAGAAAAGAAACAAGGGAAAGTGTTATACATAAAACCAAACAACTACTATTATTGATGTTGACAGCATTCTAATCAATCATCTATTTACGACGTGCCATCGGCCACACTCACGTTAGCTTATCGGGCCGCGTGCGCTCCTTCTCCTCCACGGCGGGGGTCGGCTGCGAAGCAAGGGCGGACTGGCCGTTGGGGACGCCCGTGCCATTATTGGCTTGGGGCGAGGACTGCTGCTGCTGTGGCAACGGAGTGAAACGGAAGCACGTAAGTCAATATACAACCTTCATTGCCGATTAACGTAATACATGCATTAGTCACAATAAGAAACGCGAAAACCTCGGAGAATGACTTACCGCAGCGTCCTCTTGCACCGGCTTATCATTGGCGTTCTGGGAGTTGGCGTTCTCTTCGGGAGACACTACGATGTGGGGCGTGGTGGGGGAAGTGAGGAGGGGGGAGGCCGACTGGGCGCCCTCACTTGGCTGGCCTCCATGGACACCCACCCATCTGCAATACGAAGAAAGAACTTGTGAATTAAAGACACGCCAACAATAACAAGAGCACTGGGGATTTGTTATTCTAGCTGTCGGCTGTGGTTACAGCAAAACTCTGTAATTCACTTAATCATGCCCCACAAATTATTTTCCTATTGTAATATTCTTGCAGAACATTTTTTAAATAAAAAAAATTGCATAAATTATGACAAGACAGTATCATCACTAATGACAATAATAAAAATACATTCGTTTTATTTTCTATACCGGCCTACTAACTATATTAAAATTCAAGCCTTCATCATAGCTTTTTTAAACAATGTTTACCATTCTGGCTTGCAGGAAAGACGAGGCAGAGAGAGGGAGGTGGGGGGGGAAGAGAGAAGAGAGAAGAGAGGAGAGAGGAGAGAGGAGAGAGGAGAGAGAAGAGAGAAGAGAGAGAGAGAGAGAGAGAGAGAGAGAGAGAGAGAGAGAGAGAAGAGAGAAGAGAGAAGAGAGAAGAGAGAGAGGAGAGGAGAGAGAGAGGGAGGGAGGGAGGGAGAGAGAGGAGAGAGGAGAGAGAGAGAGAGAGAGAGAGAGAGAGAGAGAGAGAGAGAGAGAGAGAGAGAGAGAGAGAGAGAGAGAGAGAGAGAGAGAGAGAGAGAGAGAGAACGGAGGAAGTGACAAAACAGGGGAAATGCAAACATCAAGCAATAACGCTACGTCATGATCCGCCTGCACCAAAGCCCAAACATTACTACAGCCCAATAACTTGAACATTAGAAACCGGACACTCTGGTCAAGCTATTCTAGACTTCATAAAATATAAATCCTTCTTAAAAATCCTCGGTTCCTTTCCCTGTGTTTTCCTTCTAGTAACATGACCATAGTAAAGATGCAATCATATACAAAAACATCTGATAATGAAGACTAAACCATTTGGTTCGCGATTTTTATCGATGCGGCGCCATGTTTAGACGCTATTAACAACACAGAATGGACACGAGGAATTTTCTTGGAAGATAACGACTAATGTCTCTTGTTTCTACTCTTTCTTCCTTCTGCCTGTCCATCTATTGCTTCCTCCACCCCCACCCCCCTTTTTCTTCCTTCAGCATCTAATCTAAATGCAAAACCAATAAAGATTATGAAAACGTGTATCTGTGTCTGTTCGTTGTGCGTCCAGCCACATCAGAATGGCGGGATAAGATTTAATTTACTATAGAAATGGCGGAATAGGATTCAATTTGCTATAGAAAAAGGAGCGAATGAGTATAAAGAATTCCATAAATGAACTATATGCAATATTTTTTTTTGGCGAATTCACATCAAACAAATCGGATGCAACATGCTACTTAAAAATACTGCAATGTGAAACTAACTCATTCTCACTCGTCTTCTCAACAAGATGGGCATTAAGTCGCAGGATCATAAAACGGGTACAGGGCTATAGGTTTTAATTATAGAGCCAGACGTCAACGGTTTTTATTCTCGCGTCACGCCACACTTAGGATTTCACAGAAATTGCCTGTTACCTGCCCTCATTAGCTCTCCGCACAAGTAGGCAGTGGCAACAAGCTAGTTCGAGCTGGTATCGAGCAGGTTGTAGGCATGCATTATTACTTCATAATTGGTGATTGTGTTATTACATCGCTTTCTGTGGCTCGCGCTCAAACCCTATCACTCTTGATGCTGCTTGAATAAATGCTCTATGTCGTGTGTGTGTGTGTGTGTGTGTGTGTGTGTGTGTGTGTGTGTGTGTGTGTGTGTGTGTGTGTGTGTGTGTGTGTGTGTGTGTGTGTGTGTGTGTGTGTGTGTGTGTGTGTGTCTGTCTGGGTGGATGAGTGGGTGGTAAGTGGATGGGTGGGTGAATGGGTGAATGGGTGGATGGGTTGGGTGGGTAGGTGGGTGGATATAAGTTTGGTGGGCAACTCTCCCAAGCAAGCAGATAATCATTATTTTATATTTGGATTACTACTTATAAATGCATGCAAGTCTCCATGTGACAGATCTCCAGACCAATCTTCTGACGCTCAAACACGCATTACTTTGAGGAATCACTACTAGTAATATATGCAAGAAACGTGCTTATGAATGCAAACGAGCTAACCGAAGAAAATGAGTAACAAAGAACAGCAGTTAGAAAAATAATAAACATATTTTCGACGGCATTTTTACTCTACAACCGTAAAAAAAAAAAACTGGAAGGGCTAGTTTTTTTCGGGGTCTGGAAGCTTCGATAAAAAAGAACAAGTATAGTGGAATGACCTTGGCTTCTAAACTCCACATACCGCTGGCCCTTCTTGACGTCAACAAACTCTCGCAGTGGATAACAACTGTAAAAAATTACCATTCCATAACCTTGGCCGCGAATGCAAAGGTCATTTTATCAAAGAAAAAAGGCACGATACACGTAGGAGATGAATCGACGAAACCTCCGAGGTTGTGGCTTAATCCGTCCGCTTCTGCTTCGATTTGGATCAACCAGCATCACAGCAAGTCCCTCTAATGTCACTAGACCCCCATCCTCCCCCAACCGTGGACTGAGTCGAATAATTTAGGAGTTCAAGAAGCTCCAAAATGTGGCTACGTACTGTAAAAATTAACCAATGAATAAATAAATCTGCGAGACACATTTTTAATTACATGTATGCAATTATGAAAGCACACACTAATGGGCGTGCATATAAGTGTCGTATATGGGATGCAGTGTCGTGCGTTATTTTTTCCTCGGTGCGTCGCCAGACAATGAGCAGGAAAATCCTGCTGACCGCCAGCGACCTGAGCTGAAGTCACCGCCTACCTTGGGCCCCGACTGCTTCCCCTGAGTGACCTTTCAACGGCGACGGCCCATAATCCCCTGCGTTCACATGTCCACTGCGTGAGGATGTTGTCTCATCAACCAATATAACACCCAAACACGCTCGTAAATTATCTCCATGACTAGTGCCTTTTCCTCCATGTTACTCAAGGTGAAACCCTATCATGTCTGGAGAAGATTTTTTAAAAACATAAATTATATCCACTAACCCCCCCCCCCCTCACGTCTTCTCCCACCCCACGTTGGGAAGACTCGCCTTCGCCCAAGTCCTAGTACCTCTTGTTACCAACTGGGACCGGTCTAATGTCTTCTTGCTGTCCGGTATCTATCTACACAATATACACGCACATTTACTCACTATAATTTTGTCTCCATTTACTCACTCATTGTTATCTTTGCCGAACACTCACACGGCTTATTTTTCTTTTTGTTGAACGTGTACAAACAGCAAATTATACAACATGCATCTCCAGAAAAAAATGTATAGTCACATAATATAATCGAATATCAACAGCAAACGGGCATCATCCACATGGCGAGGTTAAGCGAGCTCGCAAATCATCTCCAACTGGAACCCCTAATCGTATGTCTGACGCATCCTTTTCACACGGCGGACGGGGTGGTGACCCAGCCTCAATCAAATCAATTACTCGCACATTCATCTGCATTAGTGGTTCTGAGCCTTTTCCTCTACGTCTACCCCCTCAACTTTGGTCCGTGCTGAGGTATCCCTTACACAAAAGAAAATATAAATAAACAAAGAAAGACTCGTCATGTGTCTAGTTGCTGCAACAGCCATCAAACACAATTGTAAATATCAGCAACGGACATAAAATACAGATTCTATAATGGAAAGACAACACCACACATTAAATATAAATAAATTAAATACCCCATTGGCGATCAAAACGGTACCCGATGAAAAACAAAGATAAAACTCCTTCCCTCTCCAAAGCAAAAAAAGCATGAGCCAGTCAAGGCAAGCGCTACACGTACTCGGCACAGAGAATGCAAGCGCCTGGGTCCACCTCGTTGGGGTTGATGGCGTGGAAGTGGAGGTTCGGAGGTTTCTTCTTGAACCGGAACATGGTGCTCCAGCGACCAGGGTTCAGAAGGATCACCGAAGAGTGTCCTGCGTGTCTCTGAGCTCAACAAACACACACATACGCCTTTACTCGGAAGAAGCATTTATGTATGCATCGTTACAGACAAGCCTTTGCCGTATGGCATGTCTAATTCCTTCGGGTTTTCTGCAGATCACGTGCGCACTGCTCTGTTATAAGCCTTATATTCATGTATATGTCCTTTTATACAGGTGATTATGTCTCGTCCAATATGTGAACGCTGTCCTGGCCAAGAAGAGGAGGAGAATGATAAATCACGGTCGCTCCCTGTCAAACAGTTTGGCATCGTCGTCACAACGCACTTTCCATCGCGATCTCCAAGAATAATCTCTATCATCGCGGCTAAGTTATTTTCAGCATTTGCTTTCCTTATGTGAACTATTCTGGAATGCCACGTACAAAATACATAATAATGCAAATGATGAATATGATGGTATGTTATACTAATAATAATGATAATAATAATAATAATAATAATGATTTTACATATGATACCAACTGATAGGGTAATTACAATATGAATAACCAGTATTTAGTACATCTACTACTACTACTACTACTACTACTACTACTACTACTGCTACCACTACTACTGCTACCACCCCTACTACCACCACCACTACTACTCCTACCACCACCACTACTAGTACAAAATCGACAAGACAACTATTATCATTGTCATTGATGTCGCTGTTGTTATAAGATAAAAAATATAATTTTATTACTACAACAAAAACCAATAGCAAAAACTAATAATGTTAACTGTGCTACTTCAGGAACTTCAAAAACTACTTTGATATCGGATAGAACTAAACTGATGATGACATTGGTTGTGAGGATTACTACTACTACTACTACTACTAATAATAATAATAATAATATACCATTAAAGCTAATAACGTTAATGATGATAGTGTCGTCGATAACAATGATAATGATAAACACAGTGCAGACACTTCAAATTACAATGTTTTTATCGCACACCATTACTAAACCTTTTTAAATATTCTACTAAACAATTTCGGACACGAGCATCTTCAATGACTGCTGCAATCACATAAAAGCGAAGAATATGTACCGCAAACAAAA